CATAGGCGGCGGTTACCCCTCACACCAGGGGAACCACCAGCTTGTTTGCTATCTTCTTTTATAAAAAAGAGAAATACTAATAAACTCATTCAGCTAAAATGTCTATATTTTATAGTGCCTCGAAAATTTCTCCTTGTACTAAAACCTCTCAATACAGTGGACATAAACCGTAATTAGTGAGAATTTTCGAGGTATGTTCAACAGAAATGTATTAGTTCGAGAAAATGTCAAAGAACGAATAAAAGCTGCAGAATTCATGTGAGAAATGCAATTGTGTTGAAATATAAAACAATGACAAAAACATGTAGCTTGTTGGATTTTAAGTTCTGCAGTCATTATTTATGACAGTGAATAGGTACATAGTTCGTCGGAAGGTATTTTAGTCCTTAAAGGTCACTATGTAATAAACATTTCGGCGATAACAATACAAGAGAACGGATACAAAGAGTAAATATTTGCAGTGGGACTTTTAGTTCTGAACTGTGAATGGCCACGATAGCTTATGCGGGCAGGTATTGTTCTTATTATTTTTAGTCCGATGTTTTAAATTAGAAATAGATAGATGCATAGCACTACGAGTAGATACGCTTTTGGTTATGAATGTATTAAGTACTTAGTTATCAAGGAAGTGTTTGACTTGACAAGAGTGTTCAAAATAATCGGTGTTAGATGTATCAAGTAATGATGCCAATACGTTTTTTTTTTTATGTGAAAAGTTGCCAAACGAGCAGACGGTTCACCTGATGTTAAGGGAATACCGCCGCCAATAGACATCTGCTACACCCGAGGGTTTGCAGATGCGTTGACAACCTTTTTGGAAATTGGGCTCCGGCTACCTCACTCACCAGACGAAACGCGAAAGTATTTGTCATACTTCCACTTTACGCCGATCTTCTGTGAGGTCGTAGTACTTACCCGGACGAGCCTGCCCATTCGTGCAACAGCCGAGGCTGCTGCGTGGCTCTACCATCGTTAAACCAACGTTCTCGAAGAGTAGGTACTCAGCCTGGACGAAGTAATATGCACTAAGATTCACGATCGTGGGGCAAGACCTCTCGCTGTCTGCTCGTACTATTGTAGACAAAAAGAGGACGTGGGGTACTGTCCCCACATATTGCAAAGATATTATCACTTGGAAGGAGGCCGCAAAGAGACTTGGAGAGGCAATTGTCAACCGATAACCACCGCCGCTGAGCAGGATACAGGAGGCCAGTCTACGTTCACAATTTTCCCTGCTTATGTGTGCCAGGCACTTGAGTGTTTGCACTCAATACTGGGTGCTGTAGTAATTACACCAGCACGGCGGCATATGGCCGGCCGGTCATAGAAGATTGCGTCTTCGCGTTCCCGTATCGCGGCATGTAACCCGATCCAGATAAATTATCTGTAGGTCACAACTGTCATAAGTATCCCTCAAAAAATTCAAACAAACTTACTCCTTTCTCTCTCTTTTATCCATTTGTTGTTATTTATGGCATTGATATTTTCTTACTAGTACTGCCCCAATTTTCAAAAAGTCATGCTCTTGCTTAAGATTCACGATACAGTGTCGTTGAGAAAATATTCGAACGTATCAAAAACTACGATACTAAACTTAAATTTATACCACAACCTAAGAACTGAACTATATGCAGGTTGAACATAATTCTAATTGACAATAACAGTCATATAAAACACAAGTACTGAGATTTATTAGCCACTTTTATTCCTTAACTACGGATCACATAACAAATGTACGAATAAATGAATTGATAGAGCATAAATATTAAATAGCTTACAGCTCATTTCCCAAATCGTAACAAGGCGGCCTCAAGTCTATCTATTATGTTTTAATACATTTATTCGTATCCTCTCACGGCAATACTACCATTAATTACTTTGCCATTTTTATTGTTACAATTCGATGTTGGGCCATAAATATATCCATACAGTAGCGTTTGGCTGAGTTTGATGGAATCTTACTATGATATAAAACAAAAGATTATCTAAGGCCTTTATCCTTATTAAAAGCGTTTCTCTTGATTTAGTTTTGCCATTACAATAATCAAAATTTTATTTTTGTTTGATATAAAATGTATAGAATTTAACTATCTGTCTTCTATCAAAACAAATGCGAACATTAAAGTAGAAACTGCTGTAATGCCGATAAAATTCATTTTTATCGTCATTATAGCAGTACTATTTATCTGTCCGAAAGTTTTTCTTGTGCTTACTTCAAAACGGCTCTAAGGATTTCATTTATAACTTTAGACCTTAATACAAAAATTATAACTTAAATTTCCATGAATGTTACATTGCCATGTCGTGAATTGAAATGTTTGTAATGAACAATTATAAAATTTTTATTATTTTATGTGAGTAGGTGACATCGCCTCACTTTAAGTGATAACCACCACCCATTGACCTTTAAAACACCCGTAGGCTTGCACATGCGTTGCCACCTAATAATTAAGTGAGCCCCGGCTACCTCACTCACCAGACGAAACGCAGAAGTGTAACACATACACTGCACGTCGGTATTCTGTTAAGTAACGGACCTGCCCATTCGTGCAACAGCAAACGTGCAACGTTCAACTGCAGAATTTTTATTTAAATTCCACCACTAGATTCTGGCCACTGAAGTCGAGGGCACAAGATAATGAAGAATATTCTAAAAGCCTGACCCCTTTGCCTGGAAACAACGTTCTTACTGTACCGTAACTTGACTTGGCAGTGCTCGAATATTATCCTAATAATCTAAGTTGAACGGCGCACTAACCTCTAAATCTTAAAGACAGATTATAAATACCGGAGTGAATGGATAAAGCGTGCTAATTACTTCATTCCATTGTAGTACGCATTACATGTAAATGTACATACGCTTGAAATAAAATACATTACGTAATGTTTATATTTGAAGATCGATTTTTTTTTGTTGCTTTAAAACTATAAATTACTTGGACAGTTAGAACATAATTGTTTCATAATTCTTTTGCCTACGGTATTGTATTTCTTCCAGGTCAATTGTTTGTATGTTATTTTTGACTTTTCTTTGAAAGGGTGCAAATAAAATTTAAAAAGAACCAGCAGATAGTGTTTGTTAACGAATATTATTATATAATTCAGAAAACATAAAATTTTAGTTTTCTACTTCACTCTTAGAGATTTGACGCAACGGTTCTTGATATGGGTCCGAATGTTTTAGATTTCTTTATAAACTATTGGCTTTAACAACCAATATGTCATTGTTTTTGGTAAGCTGATAAAAGCTGAAGGTGATTAATAATAAAAATCTGAACCTTCGTGTGATTTCAAACTCTGCTACAAGTTCACTGGTGGCGCGCTCGTAAGCACATTTTATTATACTATTTATTGTCCGTGAGCATTCCATATAAAGATACAGTCCGCGCGTTCTGTCGGATGTTTTGTGAATGTTCCGCAATAAATTATCCACCCACCCCGACGCCAGGATGTCTGGCATCGCGGCCCCGTTTGCAATCGCTCCATGTCTGTGCACCTTATCACGTCGGCATTGGTATTATGTTTGCCTGAAGAAACATCAGATGATTTATGTCGTTTGTGATGAAACCTCGGGCGGTATCTCAGAGATTCGTCTAGAAAAAAACTAATGTTTTGCAACTTTAAATACAAATCGGATTAAGACGATTGCGTTGGCAATATAGGCCTTTGACTTTTTTCATTGCGAATCGTAAATCATATAAATGGAAGAGCTTTCAATAAAAACGTTTCTTACAAGCGTGACATTGTTTTTTGTGTACTCTAGTTCGTTGTATCTTCAAGATCTATCAACATTAACTATGACCTAATCCATAATCACACGTTGGATTTATTGTTTGCTTCGTGTTTCAGCAGGCACTAACTACGGGTGGAAGTTTACCGCCTAATTGGATATTACCCTTAATAAGCTCCTATCTCAAATTGCTTTTAACTAATAATGATGCCATCTAAAATGTATTTAAAACTAGTTTTCAACTTTTCTAATGATATTTGTGTTAATAAATAAATAAATCTTTACAAATTTCTTTATTAACAGGAATCGTAATTTTTATTAGATAGTAATCGTAATTTTTTTAGTAGATAAAATTGATTATATTTTAACATAGGCTTTGTACCTATATGACATTGTTATTCTTAATGGGCATCCACTATTTCGTCAAATACGAATAATTTGATAAATTTGGCAAGTAGTAGTTTTGGATCTCGCACTAATTAAACTTCAACGGTTACACTTTACTTGTGAGATTTTAGCGGAATTAAGTATTAAGCTTATTTGATGGCGTCTATTACTCATTCGCGGTGAAGGAAAACATCGTGAGGAGACCTGCATATTTTCGAAATAATAACAAAAAAATGTATTTCGAAAATATGTGAAGTCCACCAATCCGCAGTGGGGCCGCGTGGTGGACTATGCCCTGATACCCTCTGTATAGAGGAGGCCTTTGCCCAGCAGTGGGACATGGATAGGCTGTTACTTTACTTTACTTTTACTTACTCATTCCCCTGGCCATGAATGCTGTACAATATTCGAAACGTCAGGAATTTATATTTAAATAAACGCGATATAATCAATAGTTTGGTCCAATAATGTGCAGCGATAACGAAAATGTACGACATTATTAGCCTGTTATATTACGTCCTTCCCTATAAGGCACTGCTGCTTCTTTAGGTAATGGATATTCATAAAATGTGTACACTCTTTTCAACCGACCTCAAAAACGGAGGTGATTCTCAATTCGACTGTGTTTTTTTTAAATTGGTAACAAACAACCTCAGAGCTTTCGAATGAACGAACCGATTTTGATGATTCTTTTTTTATTTGAAAACTGGTGCTTCCCACGTGGTCCCATATTAATTTAATTGATATTGGATCTCGGGCTCCGGAGATACATAGGGAACTTCTGAAGATCAATTATAAAGTGAAAACAGAGCGAGATATTTGAAATAGGTTTTGTTTTTCGTTAGTAAAAATATGGTTATTTGTTTCAGGTTCATCTGGAACGATGGCGTGTTCCCGAGGCTTCGCCCTGGTGGCAGTTATTTGTCTGTTTGCCGGCGCGGTATCGAACCCAGTACGCCGGTCTCCCGATTTAGAAGCAAGGCGCAGAAGTGCGATTGATCGTAGTATGATAAGGTACTATCCCAATTTATCATCGTCATCAGCCTGTATTAATCCACTGCTTTTGCATCCAACATGGAGGGCATCATATTACAATTTATCCTCCATCTTCCGCATTCTGCCACTTCTCGAAGGTGGGCAGTCTTCACACTTTCTTCCTAAGCACGGCTTCTACTCTATGGACCTTCCTCCCCTATTTGCCATGACAGATACGGCCGACATACTGCGTCCTGTACAAATAAAATGGGCCCTGGCTGTCTCACTCACTAGACGAAAAGCAAATATAAATAACACTTCCACTTCACAATAATCTTCTGTGAGTGACGGTACTACCCCGGAATACTACTGCTGCGTGGCCGTACCACGGTTAAATTTACCTGGCTTAAGTGTATATTTATTCCATTACATCTATGATGTATAATATATAACCGAATAACTTGATAACGCGATGAATACAAAACACATTGTTTTAACACGTTGCTGTAAATATAATGGTAGACCAAAAGACGAATGAATAAACACACCTTTATTTATTTACAACTAGTGACCCGCCCCAGCTTCACACGGGTACAATGTATTATACACATAAACCTTCCTCTTGTTCACTCTATCTAGTAAAAAAACGTACAAAAAGTGCGCAGTTTTACAGATCTAATCATACAAAGGGACAGACAGACAGTGGGACGACTTTGTTTTATACTAGGTAGTGATTCACTCCATAAAGCTAAGGATTTTCGCAGATTCGGCCGGTCCTATCCGCCTGAGCCATCCGCCGCCGACCTGCGGGAGGCTTTGCAGCGCCAGACGCGTCGCGGCAACAGTTTCCTGCGCTTCGGCCGCTCACAGCCCGTCGCGTTCACCGCCGACGACCTTGTCGCCCTGCTGCGGTCCTACGACGACGACTACGAGGCTCCGATCGCGAAGAGGGTCTCCAACTTCGTCAGGCTCGGCCGCGACCCCAAGTTCATCAGGCTCGGCAGGTCGGCCGCCGAGGACCAGGGCTTGGAGCAGAACGCCGAGCTCTACGTCAGCGGCTATCCACAGAGGAAAAGCAGGGCCAGGGACCACTTCGTGAGGCTTGGACGTGGCGGCGAAGATGTTAGCGGCTCCAGTGAGCTCGAGGAGATGCCCGAAGACAGGAGAAAGAGGTCCACCGAGATCTGCGATGACTGTCACACGTAATTTTAACGGAATATCGAGTAGACCGTTTACGCGACGCATTAACCTCATTAATATATTTAAAGGATTGTAATGTGAGCACGTCTTTTCCTTATATTTGACGGTTATTTTAATTAGTTCTCTTTTAAATTAGTGCCAGTTGATTTTATACGATTCATCATCATCGAGTTAACAGAATCATCATCATATTTATTCACTAAGATCAAATCCCGTGACAATTTGAATAACCCACAAATATGAAAACGATCCAAATTGTTTAAATGAATTGTCATTAGATCTGATTCTGATAACCATATTTTATTAATACTCCAGCGGTGGATTAGCGGTTTTAGTCGATTTGCTCGATAATTTTGATTGACCTTCCTATTTGAATTTGTTACATTTCACCAACAGTTTATTTCTTTAGAAAATGCAGTAAAAAAATTGCCATTCAGTATATGTATAAAATATCACGTGTTGCATTTTCGTATTGAATTAATGTATAGTGTTATGATATTAAATGTTTATGCCTCATTAGATATTCATCCACAATAAAATCTATTTTCTTAATAAGCCAAAGTAAATCACTTTAACTTCTTCTAGAAGGTAATTTATAATAATTGAATGTTGTGATAAAGTATTGAACAGCTCATTGATACCGTAACATCAATGCACGTGGAAGTATCCGAACAAAGGCTGGATTTACTAATGGTTTCGGATACTTACACAATGGAAAACAGCTGTTCATTAGAGATATTAGTTTTAAGTAAATGTTTTCTTTACTCAAATGTTCTATCATATTGTAATGTTCGAAAAAGATTGCAAAATATTAAATAAATGGCATTACTGTGTAAACAGCATGGAAACAGTTTTATTTTCAATAAAGACGAACTGGTTTTATATTTTGTTTCTTTTTTTTAAATTTCTAAACGAGTTATCGAGGACAAAAATTCTTATTTTATTGAAATTATCCATAATAATTTCTAACTGACGTCATACCGTAATACCACCACTGGCATATAACATAAAAATTTGTGTAGAAAAAAGGAACGAAAAGTTTCTCGCCGCCGTGGGAATCGTACCCACGTCTTCGAGATTCGCGCCCCGTCGCTCTGGCTACTACATGGGGGGAAACAAGCCCACCAAAAACTATTGTCCAAAGGAGCCATCGATTGGTTGATGAGTATATGATAGCAATACTCCCCCTCAACATAATTAACATTGATTATTAGAACAAAACATCGTCAGAATAAAAGGTCATCCTGGTTCAAACAAAAGGCAACAAAAACAATGAAAAGAAAACATTACTGAGAAATAATAAAAAATTACGAAATTCTATTCGGACATTCGTCAGCTAATTTTGAGACATAAAGGACATCTTTTAAATCAACCCGGGATTTATTATCGTTCTCTGGTTGGATTTTATTTTTATGTACACCAGTAAACGGCGGCGAATGTAGACGACGAGTGTTTTTCTTTAGGGTCGCAAATAATTTTTAAACTTTATAAACTATAAGGTTCCAGTTAATTCACGTGGTTAACGGATCAGATGTAATCCCTTTTTTTCAACTTGATTAGGGCTGGCATGAGGTGGAATTGTAATAACTACTTCTGCGTCTCGTCGAGGTATCCAAGGCGCACTTTTCGAATTGTTGGCAACACCTCAGCAACCCGTTTCTTCACTTTTTTCACAGTTGAAACATGTAGAAAAAGTACGAAAAGATTGTCGCCGCTGTGGGAATCGAACCCACGTCTTCGGCATTCGCGGCCTGACGCTCTAGCCACTGAGCTAAACGGCTTTTTCTACATGTTTTAATGTTCAATCTTAAGTGCAGAGATTAGCACTATAAAAAAAAACTTTAAAAATTCTTTCACAGTTCACCTGTTGCTAAGAAATTTATATATTTTTCTAAATATAATGATAATATTTATTTATCTAATATTCATTAAATCTATCTAAAATTACATATAACCTAATAAACCTATATCCACGCAGCATGGTGCCAAGAACGCTAGCTGCATTTCGTCTTTGAACAGTTATGCTTAACCTTTGAGCGAGGAAAAAATCAGCTCTCTAGTCACCAGCCGTGGTGTTAAGCCTAGGACATAAACTTTAAAAAAAATTTGATGTGAAGGGGACCCACGGACCTAAAGTTTCAATATAATGAATTTAGAATATTCTGAAACATATTATTTGTACGTGTATAAATTTGTACTACGCGGAGAAATTGAGGCATATGAGCCAATCTCAAAAATATTTCATTTTTAAAAATTAAATAGATATTTTTACATCGAGGATGAATTCAAAGATTTCAAACATATTCAAGAAATTAATAAAATTTAGTGTTTAGCTGTCTTTGGTTCTTTCGCCTATTAAATTATAAAGTTTTTAAAGTTTAACAATTTTTATAGTGTTATTCTCTGCACTCAAGACGAACTTTAAAAATTTGTAGTAGAAATATTAGTAAAATTTTTTTCGCAACCAACACAAATTCTTTACTTTTGTGTCCCACCCAATCTTTGACCAATTATCTATCTTTAATCACAATATTCGCGTTGGGCCCTAATCACCTCTTGTTTTCCCAACGACAAAGAAATTATCAAATTTCCATTCGACGGCGTCGCCATTCAAATTTCGGGGGAGAAACGGACAAATTAAAAATGTCCGACGACGCCTCGGCGGCTTAGTTCATAATTTTGACGTCGATCCATTAACGACGCCATTTATCTAATTAATCAACTCTTTAATATCGAACGGGAGTGAAATTTTAATTTTGTAGCATAAACAAAATTGGACTATGTGCAAGTTCCTCTGTTTTATTCGTATTTTCTCTTGCGAAATAATCTCCACTGATCCCAGTAACTGGATCCACTTGTCAGTAATGTATTTGTATGCTATAACTTACAGTTACCACACACGTCTGAAAAATCGCTTGGCTTGTTCGCTATGTTACAATAAAAGGTAAGTATCAGGAGTACGACATGTCGCAATTTAATGCGGGGTTAAGTTTGGACAACGAATGGCACAGTTAATAAAATACGCATGTATAAAAAAGGTAGTCCTAACGAAAATGTAGTTAATATCTATAGATAGTATATATAGATATATATATATACCTATAGATATATATACCTGTAGATAGTATACCTATAGATAAGGAGCCACTTGACGCAAATCTATCCATGTATTGCGGACTTTAACTGATTCTGGAAGGGGGTGCTATGAAACTGTGATTTTTTTCTACATAAGAATCCATGGAGTAATTAAGCCCGCTTTATATTCAAAATATACCCCATGAATATACAACATTACATTTGAATACTACTTTACCGTTTAAAGAAATCTTCACCGTTTAATATTAATGTAATTTTATTTTAAATAAATAAATAAAATAAATAAGAATCCCATAATGGAGTAATGGAGTATCTCGTTGACAATCGAATCCGTTATTAATAGAAATAACTGATAATGCTTATATAAGATTTTTATATCCTAAACGAGTGTTACTGAACTTACTTTCAAGCAGCTAATACGTTGGGCTCGAGCACCAACAAATATGACATTTTTGAGAATGTTTACGGGCAAAAGTCACATTCTAACATTCAAGGATAATATTCAATTCATTAAAAAAAATGTATTCAAAAACAACAAAAATTACCTAAACAATCTTCGACTAAATCACTTTTAGATTTAATGAATCTTTCAATCGCTTCATATGAAATTGCGTTAGCTGTTACTGTTACCAGCAATTGTATTCGTCGCACTATAATAAATAAGTGAAATCAGATTCGCAACTTGAGCCTCGTCAATAAAGAGTTAAAATGCGACGGGGCTTTGGATAATTAGGACAGTAAGGTTTCCCGTGACGTCATTTATGCTGTGTCGCGATAATAAAACGGGAGCCTTCGTGCTCCTTTAATTGGTCATTTGAACCTTAATGCCTCCTTACATTGGCTATATTTTATGGGACTTGCGTTGTAAAATCTACGTGTATAGCCAATCCCACGTTTTTATTTATGAATTCTTCATACATTTTTTGGACTTTATATGGCGATGAGTTCAGGGTAATCAGATTTGAAACTTAACTCATAGATACCTCCAAATAAGATAGATTTTCGGAATCATGGTGCTAACTTCCGCAAAATCTATCTTCTTGAATGACATCTTATGACTTCTTATTTAGCTTTTATCAGTGTAAACCTGTAATTAGCTGTCTTGTTATTATTACCTTGTTTTTATTATTTATGATGTATAAGCTGTCGATTTTCCATAAAATAAAACTAAAATACACATTTAGAACATATTTTGCAAGTTAGCACATGTTTACTATGATTATACACATTTATATAATTATGTAGTTCCTATTAATTACTGGAAAAACTGGGCGAAACGAAGCAGAAAATGACATTTCACCAGACATCTACCCGCGTCAATGACAAATAAATTTATGAATCTATCTGTGACTGATTTCACTTTTTCATAGAAGAAAAAGATCGGGTCTTGGGTTTGATGAAAATAATGCAATTTAGATTGAAATCTTTTTTATTCTTCACTGACACTTCGAAGGCCTTTTATTCATCAAAATGAGTACAAAAGATACATAAGACGAGTTAACTTATTTAATTTTACTAGTGGCTTATTAAAAATTAGTAGTAATTAAATTGTTAGTGCAATAAGGTCAGTGTTCCTGCTAATAAAATCCTGGTGTTCTAACTGTAGATTTAGTTTGTTACGATTCCTTATGAAGGTAAACTCTTTCACCAGATGAAACGAAAAAGTATGAATACTCTACCATACGAATTGTGACGTACTGATGCTTTCCTGGTCTATTCATCTAGAAGTAGAAATTGCAGCGTGATTCTATTAGGTAAAAAATAAATAAACATCAATAAATAAACACTTTTCAATAGAGATATGATAACGGTTTAATATAAAAAAAGTCTTAACTCATTGTATGTATACTATACGTGTACTATATTAGAATTCATTAATTAATTTGTACGATTAAATTATTAATTTC